TTTTGCACATGGCTGCATTCCATGTGTTGGCTGGGTCTTCTGTCATCTGAAGGCTTGAGTGGGGAAGGATCTGTCTCTCAGAACACCGACATAACTTTTGGCAGGCTTTAGGTAGTTGTTGCTGGAGACATTAGTCCTTTGCCATGTGGGTCTTCCCAGTTCACAGCATGGAAGCTGGCATTCCAGAATGAGGGTGACAAGATGAAAGCCACAGTCCCTTTGTAACCTAATCTCAGAAGTGCTATCCCGTCACCTCTCCTGCATTCTGTTTGCTAGAAGCAAGTCACTAAATCCAGTCCATACTCCAATAGAAAGGGCATGAATACCAGGAGATGGGGATTATTAAGATCATTTTAGAAACTGGTAGATACTACCAAGTAAGCCCTAGAGATCTCACCAGAGTTTTTTTTGTGTGTGTTTTATTCTAGTTCTATACCATAAATGTGTCTTAGCCAGTCTAAATCTGCATTTTTTCTTTCTTTTCTTTTTTTTTTTTTTTGCTACCAGCTCTACTTCTTAACTATTAATCTCTTTATTTTTTTACCTCTTATTTTTAGTTCCCCTTATATTTAGTTTATCAAGGGCCTAAGATGAACTCTGCTGCCTCATGACATTTTACCTTCTGCCTCTGCTACTAGTCACTTTAATTCTGTTTCTAACACCTTGTTAAAAGTGAGAGAGAGAAGGTGGGGAGGGAGGGGGATAGAGTATAGGACCTTTTGAATATGAGTACCTCATCTGTGATTAACACAGTTTTCCTTAGAGAGCAGTGTAGTTATCTAAATACTATTGTAGATGTTTATAGATTAGAATATAATAGAATATTTCTTATAAAATTAGAAACTAAAAATAGACTTTGGGGAGAGAAGAATGTCTACATTTTTTTGAGACATTACACAGAAAAATATAAAAAGAGCAAACATCTCTCTATTTTTAAAGTTATCTCTACATGCAATGTGGGGCTTGAACTCACAACCTTGAGATCAAGAGTTGCATGCTGTATTGACTGAGCCAGCCAGGTGCCCCCAAACATCTATATTTTTATCACATAGAATTAACAACCAGTAACATTTGTTCATTTTGCATTTACGTCATTTTCCTCCCAGTACTAAAGTTTGTAGTTGAAACTCAACTCCTCTTAAACGACCACTTTTAGTTCTGTTTCATGGAAGTTATCTGATGTGCAGCTCACAGATATTCACAGATTTGGTGGGCATTTTTCTGGTTCATTTTTTATTTTTGTAAACACATAAACACGCACACACATATATATGGTGTGGTCTTGTGTTTGTATTTTCCCCCCCCATATCAATGCAGGTTTTATTGTATTTTTAAAATCTCTCAGGGGCGCCTGGGTGGCTCAGTCAGTTAAGCGTCTGATTTTGGCTCAGGTCATGATCTCCCAGTTCATGAGTTCGAGCCCCACGTTAAGCTCTGTGCTGATAGCTCAGAGCCTGGAGCCTGCTTCGGATTCTGTGTCTCCCTGTCTCTCTCTCTTCCTCCCCCACTCAGGCTCTGTCTCTGTCTCTCATAAATGAAAAAACTTAAAAAAAAGTTAAAATACCTCAAGTCTAAAATACATCTGGCATCTTGCTGTTTCCATAGCTGGACAACTTAGATCTTATTTATCAGCCTGCTGAAATGTTCCTTTTTCAGAAACATAGATGCCATCCAAGAATTTTTTTTGATATCTTTGTTTTTAATTGTTGTAGCTTGTTGAATCAAAGCAGCTGCGTTTGATACAAGTTCAGTGTCATTTTCTTCAAGAATTAACTCATCTATCTTGGCTTGAGATACTGAACAAGCAGCACCTGGTCTCATCCAAATCCTGTGGAAGTATTTTCACCCAAGAAATTTTGGATTTCAACAAAAGAACCATTTTTATAACTAACAGTGTTGATGGGGAAGTGAGAATACACAGATCTCATCTCGGAAACCAGTGTAATGCCCTTGATTATGGCTATAGATAGTGGGAATAGTAGCCAGTTCTTTTCTGTTTCTCCACCATTTGTCAGCTCGGAACCTCTTTTTCTTGTCAAGGAGACTTAGTTCTACATTGAGGTAATTGAAATTCCTTTGCAGGGTTCCTCTGGGACCCTTCACAATAACAGTGCGTCTCTTCAGAGTGACATCAACATTTTCTTGAAAGTCGACAGTTTGATTACTGAGAATGATTCTCATTCTCACAGTAGTTCTAGCAAAGAGAGCTTGTGTTTGTATTGTATTTATTTGGTAGCATATACTGTACCATTCTTTTTAACTTTATACTCTTAGATTTGTGCATATTGATATATATATAAAGATCATTCTTTTTAGTTGCTGTATAGTATTCCATTGTGCTTTATTATGCATCCTCTTATTGCTAGATATTTAGGTTGCTTTGAAAGAATATTTTGCTGTTACAAACACTGCTGTCTTGTGCACTTGTGACAAATACATTTTCCAAATTAATGTCAAATTTAGAGTTAACTTATAGTCCAAATAGATGTGAGAAATCTTATTTACCCACATTGTCATAATAAGTGATATTTTAGATTTAAAACATTATTTTAAATTTAGTGATTGGGAAACTGTTCTCTTGCTTTATTAATCTATAATTCCTTCATTACTAGTGAGATTGAGTATGTGTTTAATGACCATTTGGATGTCACCTGTGAAGTGTCTAACTAGTTTCCTCATTTGTAGGAGTCCTTTATGTATTTTGGATACAAATTATTTTCTATTATATATATTGCCAATATATTCTCCTAGACTATAACTTGCTTTTAAGTATTTTTTTTTTAACTGCATTGAAACTTTCATGCTCTTTTACCTTTGAGCATATTTGCTAGTCTTTGCAAAGAATCCCCTTTTGGTTTTGTGTTTTTCTATAGGAATGAGGGTATAGAGTTAACAGCTAGCACCTGGGGACATACGATATGAGAGTGTGGCCATTTAAATGACTATTAACTGTCATGCGTTGAAACAAAACTTATGTAGTATCATTGCACAGTATCTTCTAAAACTCGTAATTTTTAATGATATACAAATTTTTTCACTATTCAGTCTTCATAATTTTCAATGGTATAGGATTAACTTTTTTAATGAATCAGACTGTATGGTATATACGCTTTTTCTTTTGATAAAATACAATGAAATTTGTTTAATTATAGGATTAATCTTTAGTAGTTATCTGTTACAGCCCCCACTATTTTCCAGGCAGGAGTAACAGCTTTTATAATGATAACTGATGACTCTACATTGTGAAAAGGGAAAAAAATTATTACAGATGCTTTTTCAGAAAAATTTTGCACATTGCTTATCAAGCAAGTTTTTGCTATCATATTATTTTTAACAGTTGTGAAATTATATACTTTTTAATTTCTAGTTCAGTTACTTACATCTTTTAACATTTAGCTTTAGTTAATATACTGTTCAGATTATGAAATTTAAGTTGAGAAATGGATGTTTTGAGCAACTTACTATATTTTAGAAAGATAAGTAATTCTTACTTTGGCAGAAAATATGAGATTGAGTTACATTTTCAAATATAATTCCCCAATTCCAGGTTGGAATTTTTTTCTTTTGCCTTTCACTAAACATTGTCTCAAAAAAAAAAAAGGAAAGGAAAAAGGAGTCCTGAGGCACATCCACAAGCATTTGTCTAACACGTGCTAGGTAATGTGCAACCTTAATTGGAGTTTTTGGAATTGGGCCCACAGTCAGAGTGAAGAATAGTTTAGTCTTTGTTGAATTCGTTATGAATTAGGAAAGAACAGAGATATTATTAGGCGTTGGGAAATAAAGGAGGAATTTGGTTTCATTTACATTTTAATCAGAAACATTGAAAATGTTGCCCTTGGAAAAAGTGTAAGCATAAACTTTTTTTCTAGATATTTGATCATTTATTTTTACATTATTTTAGGTTTCCAGTAATTATCTGCAGGATTCGCCATGACCCCAGCTCTGAGGGAGGCAGCAACAAAGGGTATCTGCTTTTCATCTTTACCAAGTACCATGGAGTCTGACAAGATGCTATGCATGGAAAGTCCAAGAACTGCAGATGAAAAGTTAAAGGAAGACACTTTGTCTCAGATGCTGGGATTTCCAACTCCTGAACCTACTCTTAACACTAACTTTGTGAATTTAAAACATTTTGGCTCCTCTCAGTCGTCAAAACATTATCAGACGGTTCTTTTAATGAGTTCAAATTCTACATTAAATAAATACAATGAAAATTACAAACAAAGGAAATTAGGGGAACCTAATTGCAGTAAGCTGAAAAACATACTGTGTAATGGCAGCAACATTCAGCTTAGTAAAATCTGTCATTCTCATTCTGAAGAGTTCATCAAAAAGGAACCTCTGTCAGATACCACAAGCCAGTGCATGACAGATGTACAAATTATTTTGGATTCAAATACAACCAAAGACATTAATGTAGATAAAGTACAACTACAAAACTGTAAATGGTACCAAAAGAATGCACTTTTGGATAAAGTTACTGATGCTGAAGTTAAAAAAGGTTTATTGCACTGTGCTCAAAAGAAAAGTGGGCCTGGCCACTCAAATGTGCCTGTTGGTTTCTCAGCTGCTGAAAAAGAGGAAGAAGTGAATGCTCGTTTACTTCATTGTGTAAGTAAACAGAAAATTTTACTTAGCCAGGCTAGAAGAACTCAGAAACATTTGCAGATGCTCCTGGCAAAGCATGTTGTTAAGCACTATGGTCAACAAATGAAATTTTCTATGAAACATCAACTCCCCCAAATGAAGATCTTTCATGAACCTACCACAATTTTGGATAGCAGTTTACCTAAATGCACTGAAATTAAGCCAGAAGTCAGCATGTTGACTGCAGAGAATAAATTGTGGAGTGATACAAAAAATGGCTTTGCACGGTGTACAGCTGCAGAAATCCAAAGATTTGCACTGTCCGCTACAGGGCTGTTGTCTCATGTTGAAGAAGGTCTGGATTCTGATGCAACTGATAGCAGCTCTGATGATGATTTGGATGAATATACCATTAGAAAAAATGTGGCAGTGTAAGTGCAAAATTACTCTTAGACCTTTTACTGTTCTGTGTATAGCAGCGATTTTGTCTTGATTTCAAGATACGTTAAGTGGAAATAAGTTTTCTAAAACTTTAGTGCCATAATCTTTAAGTTATAAAACTTTGGTGAATTTTTAAAATGTTTTGTTTGCTGAACTATGTATGAATATATACATACTGTTTAAAAATGAGTTACTCAACTGCTCTATCTAGGAAAAATCCATATAGGAGTAATGTAAGCTCTTTAGCTAAAAGTAAACATCTTTCCTATTCTTGAATAGAATAGGCTATAGACAAGGCTGAAAATTTTGCATATTTTAGCCAATACGTATAGTCAAAATTAAAAACTTCAGTCTGCATGCAGGGAGCCCTCATTGACTTTAGGAGTTTATTAGTTGAGAGTATATGTAAATTGATCTCCTTTTTGTGTGTGTCTGTGTGTGTATTTTTAAGTTGGGAACTATTTATTTATTGTTGAGAGAGAGAGGGAGAGAGGGAGGGAACACAAGTGGGGTAGGAGCAGAGGGAGAGGGACAGAATCTTAAGCTGGCTCCACACTGAGTGTGGAGCCCCACATGGGGTTTGAATTCATGACTGTGAGATCATGACTTGAGCCGAAATCAAAAGTTGGATGCTTAACTGAGTCACCCAGCCGCCTCCCCATTTAAAAAAAAAAAAATTACAACATTTGTATACTCCTTGAGTTCCCACCTTTCAGCTCTGGTCTTTACCAATTTAGTCAATTATAGTGTCAGCTATTAGATTGAATACTTACTATGTTCTGGACCTGGAAGATTTATTTGCGGGCAAAATATTCATAGTCTCTACACTCTTGAGGATCTGCTTTAAAGAGAGGTATCCAAATATTTAAAACCAAAAAAACACAGAGGTAAAATAGTTTTTTATATATCACACTGTGTTAATATTCCAGAACAGCCCTATCTGATAGAAGTTTCTGAGATGATAGAAATGTTCTATATCTGTGTTTATCAAATAGCCTTATGTGGCTACTGAGCACTTAAATGTGGCCAGTGCAACTGAGGAACTGAATTTTAAAATTTTACTTAATTTGAATTAAGTTTTTTTAAATTGCTAGATAGAACATGATTTTCAATCTAGCTTTCACAGAATCTGTTAATGTCCCTAAATTGATGTGAAATGCTGTGCATATGTGGTATTTTGGGAGGAAGAGGTCCATCATTTTTATCAAATTCTCAGAGATGAATGAGAGTCATTACAGAATTAGAAGCTGAACACATTAATTTTTACTAATAAATAGAAAGTCAGTATATCAGTTTCTATGGTGAAGAATAAAATGTAAAACAGAGCATTTCAGTCTTTTGGTGTTCTGTTATCACTATATTTGAAATGTGTTTGAATGTGGGAGTTAATATTAAGCACATGACTGGCATTGTGCTGTTTACATATCTTGTATTATTTAATCCTTTCAACAACCATTGGAAGTGACTGTTGTTATCTTTATCTTACTTAAGAAGAAACAGTCTCAGCATGGTTAAGCAACTTACCCATGGTCAAAAAGCCAAATAATTGATGGAACGAGGATTCTTGTCCATGTATATGAGACTTAAAACCACTGTTCTTGCTATTGGACTGTGCAACTTTGTCAGTGTATCATTCATTGATCTTAGAGCCACAGAAATTATTAAGTACATGAGTTCTGAAAGAAGTCCAGAAATTTACCAGTTTATATATATACATATTTATAATGCTTTTAAAGTAATTCAATTTACTAAAATTTGGTAGGTAAACTTAGTAAATTAATTACTTTTCTGTTGTTGTAGACAGTTAATGGGCAAGTTTGTCTCTTTTAAGTTGGAAACAAAAATCAGAAAATAATGTCTTCCTAGACTGTTCTGACTTTAAGATTTTCTTTCATTGATCTCCTATAGTACTTGATCTGCCATATAGTTTATCATTATGTCCTATTTTGTTCTATATGATTTGCTAAGTTATGTTAGTCTTAATAACCCAACACATAGTAAGAATGGAAACCACATTTTATTGTGTTTTTACTTATCTATCTATCTATCTATCTATCTATCCATCTGTCTGTCTATTTTTAAGTAATCTCTATGTCCAACATGGGGCTCAAACTCATGAACCTGAGATCAAGAGTCGCATGCTGTACTGAGCCAGCAAGGCATCCCTGAAAACCACATTTTAAACTTAAAAAAAATCTCATATATATTAAGCATATAATTACTGATTGGTCAAGATATTTTAAGATTTGCCTTTCTTCCTTTAGTCAGAGAACACTAAGTTTAGACACTTGTATAAAACATTCAGGAATAGGGATATTCAAACTATTAAAAGATTTTTTATACAGAGCATCAAGCAATATACATCTCGTTTTATTTTCTTCTCAACTTTGCCAGTTTATTAAGGAAAATTGAAGTAAAGTAGCCTGGAAAAAAATTGGGTTCAGGCTTGGAAAGTTTATTTCTTCTCATTCTTTCTTTTTCCTATAATCAGCTTGGAAAGTCTCAAGGAAACTACACATATATTTTAGAAAATAGTGAATCTAAGAAGTTTAATATTCTTTAAGATATACTTCAAGCCTCTTGCATTATTGGCCATTTATATTAAGATGCCTTGGTTATTAAAGCTCATATCTATATTTCTAGATATTTCTAGATATTTCTGTATTTCTAGAAATATCTATATTTCTAGAGTTCAGATCCACTTCATTCTCAGGTTATATTCATCTGATCGATTCAAATCATTAATACTAAATTTTATAACAACTTTGACTTCTTTAAGTCACTGAATTATTTGATAATTGTTTAGGTTTTTTTGTTCTTTTTTTGCTATTTGAACTCTATTTGCATTTCTTGATTTTATGTATTTCCCTCCAAATTGGATATTAACTTTGCTTTGAATATTTTTACTAATGCTAATAATGTGGGAAATATTGTTTTTCAACATTTTATTAATTTTGATGCTGACTGAATTTTGAGAATAACGCAAACTTAATTATTTGTATCTTTTGATGTGAATATAAAAATGATTTCTGTTTTTTTAAATTGGAGTTCTTTTACAGGTTAAATTCATTTAATAATTTAACACATTTGTCCTAATAAGTTTTTTTAGTCTACTTTTATTTTTTTTAATTTATTTTTGTTATTTACTGTGTATTTCTGGAAATTCACGTTTCAAATGTAGATGAATATTTTTAATGAATGAAGTTCAAGTTAAACCTTAAACATAAAATACATTTAAAAATGCATTTTGTGGACCTAAATTTTAAGTAGTGCTAATACAATTACATTTTCATTATCTCTACTGAATATGAATAGACTTCTGAATTTAATCATGAGGTCTACAGTGGCAAATACTAAAGTTTACTTCAACTTAATTTTAAGTAACTTAAGGGCAAATATTACTTTTGATGTCATTGTATATTCACTGCCTAGCATTGTCTACTTTTTAGTGTTTTTTTTTTTGTATTTGTTAATTAAACGAATTTTTCTATATTTGGAAATGTAGTTTTAAAGATGCAAAAATTGGGGTTGGCAGTCTATGAAATTTTTCTCCATATGTTTGTCTTTTCTCCATCCATTCTGTAGTTTATTTTTACTTTGTCCCCCCACCCCCTTCCTTTTTCTCTAGTACGAAACTGGCCACAAGATGTATCTTATACATCTTAGAACCAGCATGAGTGGTTATGCAATGAATGAATAAATGAAATACAGCATGACAAAATATGTACATTTAAAAGTATTTTATTATAATATTTAACATTTGTAATTTAAAGATTGACAAGTAAAATGAATTATATTTATTTAAAAAATCTTGGATTATATTATTATAAATGTCTTTTATTCCTATTTTTTTT